TCGAGAGGAAAAAATAAGAAAAATGTTGATTTTGTATTGTTTTTTTACAGGTTAGGATGGGACCACCCGGATGCGCCCGCTATCTGCCGGCCTGAGGGGGGAGTAGGAGTATATTCTAATAAGGAATAAGGATAGGAGTAGGAGGAGGGATGAGGAGGAGGAGGGAGGAGGAGGAGGAGGAGGAGGAGGAGGAGGAGGAGGAGGAGAAGGAGGAGGAGGATGCAGAGTAGCACAACCCTGAAACCCTGGCGTTGCATTCTAGGGTGCTCTTGCTCTGCTTCGGCCCCCCAGGGCCCTCGTTCATCGGGCCGGCTCGACACCATGCTGCAGAAAGACTGGGTCCAGGGTCCTGGCCACGTTGTTTCACGATGCTGCATCCTTTCGTGACGTCGGATCTCCCAGATCCCCGACGTCGCGACTTTTTCACGCCAACCCCCAGGGGTCTCGACCCCTCAATTTTGCATCCCGAATCGTTTTTTGACGCTCCCGAGGCCCGGCAAAGGTATAAAATAGCGAAATACCTCCCATCGTGTTTTTTTCACAGCGCGAATGGGTCATGGTCGGATCAGGGAACGGGCCCTGGAAGGAAGGGTCCCGAAACAATTTCGATGTTTCTGGACCCCCGAGGGCTCTCCATGGGCTCCAGGACCGTCAACAATTCGACTCAGGACGAATCGCGTTTGTCCCGGGTCTGGGATCAGGTCGGGCATGTTCTCCTACAGGCGGATTTTAGGCGAAAAATAAAACATAGTCTACACATATCCAAAACTATGCAAAAAACCTCCCCCGACTTTTCTGTGACTACTTTGGAATATTCCTCCTGTAGAGGGACAAGACCAACTTAAATCTGGGACCCGGGGGCCCCCAAAATGCAAAACGTGCCGACAATACTACCGTCAGCCGGTATAATAATGACGCGCGATAAGGATGCAAGGGCCGTGGAAAAACATGCCGACACTCTGCGAGCGGGGCGCGGCCAGCGAAAGCGGGCAAGGATGGGCCGAAGGGGAAGGATGCAAGGGTGACCCTGGAGAGTTGCTTATGCTTACGATGCGGGTTGGCTGTATTGTACGGGACATCCCCACGTTGGGCGACGCAGCCTCCTTACCGATGTCGTGAAATGGGTCCAGATAATTCCAGACATCGCGGTGGCAATCTAAACGGTCGCAATGGTGGCAGGGGGGCGCATCCCATGGTGACATCAGGGCGTGAGTGGTTTCACGAGCTCCTTCTTACAACCACTTCTTCCCCTTCGGGGAGGGGGGGTCCCCCTTCCCCCCTCCCCACCCCCCTGGTCTGAAGGGGCCGTTTCGCATGGCAGCCTCCATGAGGCCAAACTCCTTCAACACCCTAGTTGCTTTCCCTGTGTTGTTTCGCTTCCGATGGGCTCTTGAGGCTTCGATATGGCTCCACAATGGCCAAAGAGAGCCCAGAGGGGGACCCAACAGGGCTCCAAGAGCACCCAATAGCACCCCAAGAGCGGCCGAAGAAGGCCCCACGAGAGCCCCAAGATGCGGGGTTTCATGGCCCTGGCTGGCGTGGGACGCAAGTATACGCCGCCCCTTTTTTAATCGATGGCCTTCTTACAAGAGGGGGGGGCCCACTTTTGAGCCCCAAAGGCTTTTAAACTAGCCCCAATAATAACCCCACGATCGCCCCAATATGCTTCAAAGGGGATGAGGTGCCGTGTTTGCATGCTGCTACACATCCTTGATCAGGCCGACCTGCCTGGTGAATGCTTTGGGATGGGCTGGTGGGGGTGCGCGAGGCGTCAAGAATTGACCATGCATGAGCCAAGCACCAATACTGTCTGTGCCAGAGCGTGCCTCTTTCTTCCTGGCGCAACCTACAATCGCTGCACAGATGCAGCCCGTGTTTGTGCACCCTAGCTTGCGGCCAGTGCGCGTCACCCACGATGCTCCCCAGGGCCCCCCGATGCCTGGGGCCCCACTCAAGAGGAGGAACAGGAGCGGAGGAGAGGCTTGAGGGAATTCCATGCAAGAGGGTTCCATGAAAGCGCTTCACCCTGCTGGCCCAGCGGTTGGAGGAGGGCGGAGGAGAAGGAGCTGGAGGAGGAGGAGGAGGAGGAGGAGGAGGAGGAGTAGGAGGAGGGGGGGGAGGAGGGGGAAGGAGGGGGGCAGCACGATGCACGGCACACGCGCGCACCTTCTACGCTGCAAACGTCCGCCCTCCCCCCCCCCCGAAAGCTCCTCGACGAGGGCGTTCGTGCGGGCGACGTCCCACGCCCTCAATTTGTCCAGGACGTCGCCGCTCGACGCGACGTCGGCTGGCGCGCAGCCGTGCTCGTCGTACAGCCGCGGGTCTCCCCCGTGCTCCAGCAGCAGCTGCGCCACCTCCGTGCGCCCGAGGTCCGAGGGTGTCGGCGACGAAGGCAGGGATGGCTCAGCGCAGAATTTTGGGAAGTGGGGGGGGGACGAGGAGCAGGAGGATCAGGAGGAGCAGGAGGGGGAGGAGGTAATGAAGGAGGAGGAGGAGGAAGAGGAGGAGGAGGGGGAGGATGAGGAGGAGAGGGAGGAAGAGGAGGAGGAAGAGGAGGAGGAGGAGGAGGAGGAGGAGGAGGAGGAGGAGGAGGAGGAGGAGGAGGAGGAGGAGGAGCGGGCATGGGAACGCGCGAACAACCACGCTGCTCCAACCTCCGGCTGCCGATCGCACGCAGCCGCCCCGAGCCTGCCAAGGCCCGGTGTAAGAACCCCGGAGTCGAGCGCGGAGGCGAACGCAGGTGCAGCGCTAGGTGATGTACGACGGTGGCGATGGAGTCAACGGAAGGTGTTGGTGATGCTGACGATGCCACTGGCGGCTATGATGGTGATGGTGATGCTGCGGGTGATGACGATGACGATGATGACGACTACGATGGTGATGGTGATGGTGATGGTGATGGTGATGGTGATGGTGATGGTGATGATGGTGATGCTGATGATGCTGATGATGATGATGATGATAGTGCTGCTGCTGATAATGATGCCAATGCTGGTGATGATGACGATGATGGTGATGATGAAGCTGGTGATGCTATCGTGATGATGACGGTGATGATGCTGCTGCTGATGATGATGCCGATGATGATGATGGTGATGCTGCTGCTGCTGATGATGAATATGATGCTGTTAATGATAGGCTGGGTCATGCAGAAGTGCACGAGGAGAACGAAAAGGGTGGTGGTGGTGGTGGTGGTCGACCCCCCGGGAGGTGTTCGGCAATCTTTTCGAACGCCAGCTCCTTTCGTGCTCACTTTCTGCTCGCCGAAGAGGGGTGGGGGAGAGGCGTCGGGGGTCATGGTGAGGATGCTGATGGTGATGATTGCGGTGACGGTGGCGGTGACCACGACGATGATTATGCTTAAAACCGCCATGGCGATGCCGCTGGGAGGATTCTGAAAAGGTGATTGGGAGAGGGTTATGAGCAGGAGGAACAGGTGTAAGCGGATGAGGATGACAGAGATAGAGAGAGGGAGAGAGGCCACAGAGGAGGCTCTATAAGATGGGGGTGCGAGCGAATTGATGGGACGGGGAGGATCATCGGGGGCATGAGGAGAATTTTTCCTCTGCGAGCCGATCGGCAAGACCAAGCGTTGCCCAGCGCGCAGGGTGCCCCGCGGGGCACCTTGGCAGACAGGGTGGGAATGGCAGGCCAGCTCCCACGTCACGTGTCCATCGGCTGGAACTTGCAACCACCGACAGACACAGGCAAGGGCCAGGCCACGCCAAACCCACGCTACACCCAGGGGCCCCACCGACAACGACGGACGACGACAACAACGGCGACGACACGACGGAGAAGGCGAGCCGCTCGCCACGACCACCACGCGGGAAATCGGGGAGGGACCCCCCGCCCGCGAGGAGGGCTGCGTACCCAGCGACCCTCCCCCAGGGAAGGGGGCCGCGCTGTGCTGGCCATCCCCAGGGTGATGGGGCTTGTCGCCCCGGAGGCCCAGCGCTCCCCGCCTGCGCTAGGGGGCAAGTGCATGGGGAAGAGGAGGAGGATGAGGAGGAGGAGGAGGAGTAGGAGGAGGAGTAGGAGGAGTAGGGGGAGGAGGGGGAGGGGGCGGATGAGGATTCTGATTCTGATTCTGATCATGACAATGATGATGCTGATGATGCTGAGGATGAGGGTGAGGACGATGATGATGATGCTGATGCTGATGATAATGATGATGATGATGCTGATGATGATGCTGCTGATGATGCTGATGATGATGCTGATGATGATGCTGATGATATTGATGCTGCTGCTGATGATGCTGATGGTGATTATGAAAAGTATGATTGTGACGATGATGATGACGATGCTGATGCTGATGCTGATGAGGACTCGGGACTTGGCCCATGATGAGGGAGCGGAAAGGTACGGATACTACTGCTCCGCGGGCCTCCCCGTGGGTACGAGCCGACCAGGCTTTCGAGGCACACCCAGCCGTGGCGACGAGGGCCACGACAACGACGACGACGACGGCGACGTCCCGGGACGCCCGCGCAGCAGCAACAACCTCTGCAGCAACAGCCGCGCCGCCTCCGCGTGCCCAGCGTAGGCTGCGCGCCACAGGGGCGTCCGCGCGAACTCCCCGCGGCCGTTGGGGTTGCCCCTGCGGTCCAGCAGCAGCCGCACCGCGGCGACGCATCCTTCGCTCGCGCCAGGAGGAGCTGATCCTCTCCCTCCTCGTTCCCTGCGGCCGCCTCCTTTTCGTGCTCCTCCTCCTCCTCCTCCTCCTCGGGCTCCCCCTCCCTCCCTATCTATCATCCTGCCTTCCTCCATATCTTTCCCGTCCTCCTCCTCCTCCTTCTCCCCCTCCTCCTCCTGCTCCAATCCTCCTCCTCCTCCTCCAAATCCTCCTCCTCCTTCTCCACCTCATCCTCCTCCTACACCTCGTCCTCCTCTCTGTCCCCTCGCTCCTCCGCTCGCTGCTTCAGACACGCCCGTCGTGCCCTTCACGTCGCAAGCGTCCACGGGGACGCCAGCCCCCAACCCGGGGCAGCCCAAAC